AGATCATGTCTGAAAAAAACAAAATGATGATGATGGTGATAATAATAATAAATTAAAGATGAAAAGGAGGAGGCACTCATAACTCCACTGCTGGAGACTAACCACTTTAAGCAATTTGGTACGCTACAGAAAAAAAAGACTATCTTGTACTTATTGCTTTGTCCACGTAGTTCATTGCTTCTCTTCTTGTTTCATTCTCACCCAGGGTATTTTCCTTTTCTCCTGTGCTTCACAGGATAATAACTCCTCAAACATGTCCACATGCAATCTCTGGGATCTAGAAACATGTTATAGTATATGGAAAAAGAGATTCTGCTGATATAATTAAAGGTGCAGAAGTTGAGCTGAGTAGATTATGTTGGATTATCTAATAGACTTACAGAGTAGGTCAGAGAGCTATGAAAGAGGACTCAACCTCCAGTAGCTGACTTTGAAGGTGGAAGAAAGGAGGCCATGAACCACATAATGAAAGCATTTTCTGGAAGCCAGAGAGGGGCACGGAAAGTGGTACTCCCTCCAGCCTCCAGAGAGGGCTTCAGTCTTGCCAGAACCTCAGTTTTAGCCTAGTGAAGCCATGTCAGATTTCTGATCTGGGCAACTATAAGAGTGAATCTGAATTATTCACTCAGTAAATCTGTTGTTTTATGGTAGCAATGGAAATCAAATGTACTTTATTTTCTGTTTGTCTGTGAAATGCTAGTCTTATATTCTTTGGAACATCTTTCTAGGTGATTTTCATTTTCTATTTGACTTTGAAAATAATAATAATTGATGCATTGAGAAAATAAAAAATAAAACCTTTGTTTTTCTCTGAAAGAGGAACTAGATCTTTTTGGGGGTGATGGGGGAGAAGCAGGCCAATGAATTCACAGGCTGTTTACAGATTAATGGGATAGAAGAATGATCTTCCAGCCTTTTAAGAAATTTAATTAGAATTATGGAGCATATTTCTTTAGGATAAAATTGTTTACTCTTAACTTCCTTAAAAGATCTTTAAACTTGTCTTTCTAGTTACTAGCACTAATAACAATTTGTTGATCTGGATATAACATCTTGATTAAGGTCTCTGTCACCTCTAGGCTATAAACATTGTAAAGGCTCTGTTTCTGCTTTCTGTTATTTTGCAAGCACTTACACACTTCTTGACCCCTAGTAGACAGGTAAATATTTGCTCATTGATTTACTTATTTATCATTTATTTTTATTCGGTTGCAATGCTGGGATTCTGTAGACAGAAGTTCTGTTATTCCTAGTCCCACAGCCATTCAGTCCCAAAGAAACACAAAGAGGCTTATATTAATTATAAACTGTTTGGCCTATTGCTCAGTTTTATTACTTATTACTAACTAGCTCTTACATCTGGCTCTCCACTGTATCTCCAACTTTCCTCTTCCCAGAATTCTCCTAGTTTAGACGCCCCACCTATTCTTTCTTTCTTTCCTTTTTTTTTTTTTTTTTTGGTTTTTTCAAGACAGGGTTTCTCTGTAGCTTTGGAGCCTGTCTCGGAAATAGCTATCGTAGACCAGGCTGGCCTCGAACTCACAGAGATTCGCCTGCCTCTGCCTCCCGAGTCTGGGATTAAAGGCATGCACCACCACCACCCGGCATCCCACCTATACTTTCTACATGGCTACTGACTAATCATCATTTTATTAAACCAATATGAGTGACAGATCTTACCAGCTTTCAAGAGCATTATCCCACAGCAGGGATCAAGCCCAGGGATTTGGATTTGAACATACTAGGTAAGTGCTCTTCCACTGATCCACACCTTAGGCCACTGATGTTGTTAAATGATTGAAGTTTTTGTTTATGCAAAGGTAAAGTCAAAGTCAATGTCTGTGTCACGAGTGACTGAGAAAATCAACTGCTTACAACATAATGAGACGGGGCAAGCAAGGGAGTAAGAGCAAGCAAGTGACATGAGTAGGGGCTTTCAATTTGCTATAGGGACCCTTTCACTAAGATTATGCTTCGATGAGATATGATATGGGATTGTGCTATCGGAATGTCATTCTAAAGATATCAGTCTGTTTTGGTACATGTGTGAGCTCCTGCTCACAGGTAATAGGAACAGACTGTCAAGAATAACAAAGAGCACTGTCATTACTCCCTATTGGTAGCAAACCTTAAAACCAATCAAGCATGATGAGTCGTTGTGGTCAAGACAGATTGTATTCTGTGACTATTAACACTCAGGTGGAGCAAGTTTGGAGCAACTGACTTCTAACTTCTGACTAAGACAGTACCCCTTTCTTGGAGACAATCTAAAATGCTACAACAGAAAGGCTGCTCTGCTTTTCCAGAATGGAGACTTCTGGGAGCATAAAAAGGGTATCAGACTAAAATGCAGAGGCTTATTGATAAAACATGGCTACTATGAGTGGTGGGAAAGGTTTGCTTCCTGGGCACATAATTCCAAAATGTGACTGTTGGGGGAGGCTGCTTGTTCGTTCCCTGGCTGCTCTGATCTAAATAGTCATTCAGAAACTATATTAATTACAACACTGTTTGGCTTATGCATATTTCTAGCTAACTCTTCCATTTTAAATTAACCCATTTCTACTAATTTGTGCACCACCACAAGGTCATGGCCTACCTGCAAGGTTCCAACATATGTTTCCTCTGGCAGCAGCTACATGGTATCTCACTGACTCTGCTTTCTCTCTCCCAGCATTCAGTTTAGTTTTCCTGCCTAGCTCTATTCTGCTAAGTCACTGGCTGAAACAGCTTTATTCATTAACCAATAAAATCAACACATATACATAAGGACTTCTCATAGCATTTCCCTTTTTCTGCTTAAATAAAAAGGAAGGTTTTAACTTTAACATAGTAAAATTACATATAACAAACAGGTATCAAGCAAGAATTAGAGTTATAATATTTATATCTACTTTATCTTTTATCATAACTAAAGAAAACTGTAACTACCTTTTCTTCAACTCCATCAAAGACCCCAGAAGGATATAATATTACCTAAGTAAACAGAAAGTACATTGTAAGCAACTTACAAAACTCAAGAATTGACAGAGACGTCTCACTGCTTGGACAGTCACCCAAAGTTCTTCTGTAACATTGGGGCATTCATCTTCAGCCTACTGACCTATGGTACCTGGCAGACTTTTCCATGAAGCAGGAAATTTCAAAGACAGTTCTGCCTATATTGACAGTTTGTCAGTCACTTTCTTCTGTGTCCTGCAGAATGTCTGGCAGACTTTCATGATGCATGAACCCCCAAAAATGGTCTCACCTTTAGGCAAGTTCAGCAGTCATTTCTCTTCAGGTCCTGCAAGTCCAGTTTATACAGCATAACATCAAGCAGTCCAGACAAGAGCAGTTTCTTGCCCAAAATGGCTAACAAACTCCATAAGGAACCTTTTTGATGCCTATCATCCTCTTGAAGTAATTGGTGCTGCCAGGAGCAGATATGTCTCATTGTCATGAAAAGTCGAAGTTCTTAAAACATTTTAAATATCATATTCTGTTAGTCTTTGAGAAGCTTGAAGAACTATCCATCTGAAATATGTCTTTGTACATCTAGAAAGCCTAACTAACGTGACTACAAACTTGACTATTATAGATGACTATCTAAAACCTATATTTCTCAATTATACATTACATTCTTTTTTATATTTATTTATTATGTATGCAATATTCTGTCTGCATGTATGCCTGCAGGCCAGAAGAGAGCACCAGACCTCATTACAGATGGTTGTGAGCCACCATGTGGTTGCTGGGAATTGAACTCAGGACCTTTGGAAGAACAGGCAATGCTCTTAACCTCTGAGCCATCTCTCCAGCCCCCTATACATTACATTCTTAAATGAGCTGCACAAAACAATACTTAATCAAGAGCAGAAATATACATATAACAAAATTGACCTTAAGTTTGTATCAATAAAGCAAGTTCCATACCAATGCAAAGTATCCATCTCAATAGCATATCCCCCTTTAAGTGTAAACAAACATTTATAAACAATATTTGAGAATTTTGGCATAATTCTCTCCAAACTACTTCCTTCTTTTTGTTGGGAGAAGTAATTTTTGGGGGTGTTCATGGCAACCTTTTGGGGTATTGGTCCATCAAACCACTTTAGTCTGGAAGGAATCCATATGGTTCCATCTTCTATGGAAACAAAAGAAGAACTTCTTTTTCAAAGCAACAAATCCTTAGACCCAAATTTTGAAGTCAAGATACCTTTAAAATATATATGTTGGTTTAGCTTAGCAGCCCATACAATGAAATGTCTCTCTGTACTTAGCTCCTTCACAGTCAAAAAATTCAAAGACAACACAATAATATACATAATCCAGACTCTCTGTGTATATTTCATCTTTGTATGGCTTATTTTCTTTATTCCTTTTGTCTATGTCTGCCTGTACTCTGTCTCTTTAAAGACTTTATATTATTTTTAAACCATTTATTTCTTTTTATAACTCTCTGTACTTTTTTTCTTCTCTCTCCCAAGCTTACGTACATTTATCCAACACCGTGACCCATTTAGAGGTCTTTTTTTTTTTTATCTGAGTCTGTCTTCATTGCATATCTGTAATCCTTTTCTAACCAGGACCGCTTCTTAAAATGTGAAGTGACATTAGTAGGACTAAGGCTGCTTTGCCTTTTGGCTTCACCCAGCCCAACATGGCAGAGGTCTGTTCACTGCCTCTGAGACTGCCTGGTGGGAGCCATGCTCACCACCTCAACTCTGGTAACCAGTTGGCCCATGGTGCCATCAAGTAGCTTGCATAATGTTGCCCACAAACCCCATTCAAGTGCTCAGCCTCCTGAAAGAGCCAGAATTCATGCTGGCAGCATGACCCAGGAAGACGCCATTTTAAAACTGCATGGTTTTTGTTGTTGTTGTTGTTGTTGTTTGCTACTGCTGAATGAGGAAGACCTCTCTTAAAAGAATCATGCCTCTGCTTGCTTCTAGCAAACAGCCCTTCCGAGAAAATGCTGTTACAAAAAGCCATGCTTAACTCTGTTCTTTTGTGCCTAGGATTCCTTTCCAAGCTTTCTCAGGTTTTACATGGATTTAGTCAGCACCACATTGGGCATGAATTGAAAAATGACTGCTGAACTTGCCTAAAGGTGAGACCATTTTTTTGGGTTCTTCCATCATGAAAGTCTGTCAGACATTCTGCAGGACACAGAAGAAAGTGACTGACAAACTGTCAATATAGGCAGAACTGTCTTTGAAATTTCCTGCTTCATGGAAAAGTCATCTCCTGTAGGCTGAAGATGAATGCCCCAATGTTACAGAAGAACTTTGGGTGACTGTCCAGGCAGTGAGATATCTCTGTCAATTCTAGAGTTTTGTAAGTTGCTTACAATGTACTTTCTGTTTACTTAGGTAATATTATATCCTTCTGGAGTCTTTGATGGAGTTGAAGAATAGATAGTTATGGTTGTAGTTTTCCTTAGTTATGGTAAAAGATAAAATAGATACAGTAGATATAAATATTGTAACTAATTCTTCTTGCTTGATGCTTGTTTTGTTATATGTAATTTTACTATTTTAAAGTTAAAACCTTCCTTTTCATTTTGACAGAAAAGGGGAAATGGTATGTGAAGTCCTTATGCATATGTGTTGCTTTTACTGTTTAATAGATAAGAAACAGCTTTGGCCTGTGATAGGGCAGAATAGAGCTAGGCAGGAAAACTAAACTGAATGCTAGGAGAAAGTAGGTGAAGTCAATAAGATGCCACATAGCTGCCAGAGAAGAAAAACATGAGCTGCCAGCTGGAACCTTGCTGGTAGGTAGGCCACGAGCCTCATGGTAAAATATAAAATAATAGAAATGGGTTAATTTAAGATATAAGAGCTAGTTAGCAGTACACTTAAGCTATTGGCCAAACAATATTGCAAATAATATAGTTTCTGTGTGGTTATTTTGGGTCTGAGTAGCCAGGAACGAATGAGCTGCCTCTGACTATAGGTGATCATTTCTGAAAACAGATTAATTTTTTTAAATCAACTTTTACTGGCTTGTGTTTACAAGCAAAAGAAAAAAATAACTGATTCTGGGGGTTGGGAAGATGGTTCAGTGATTACAGTATTTGCTACACAAATATGAGGACCTGTGTTATGATCCCAAGCACCCATCTAAAAAACAGGCTTAGGATGTGGCAGCACAAGCCTGTAATCTCAGTGCTGAGAATAGAAGTGGAGGATTACTGGTCAGTCTGAGTAGACAAAAAGGATGAGCTCTAGGATCATTGAGAGACTCTGCCTTAAAAAAATATAACAGATATGAACTGGGTGTGTCTCAGCTGGAAGAATGCTTGCTTAGTGTTCACAAAGCCCTGGGTTAAATCTCCATATTACATAAACTGATCATGGTGGTGAGTACCTGTTATCCTAACAGTCAGGAAGTGGATGCAGCAGGATTGGAAGTTGAATATCCTTCTTGATTATTGAATGATGCCAGCCTGTACCATATGAGATCTAAGTTCAAAACATATATGTGTGTCTGTGTGTGTATGCATATGTATACACACATATATGATGAAGATTGAGAGAGACAACCAACACACAGACATACTCACCCATACCCACATGTATCTACCTCTTGTTGCCAGGGGTTTCTGTTTAGCCTGGTCCTGCAGCCATTGGTGAGGTTACTCAGTGACATTTTAAATAGTGGATCTGGATAAAGGAAAAATTGAAGTTCTTTTTGCTATTCTTGAAAGTTTTCTAAGTTTTTAAGTATTTGAAAATAAAACTGAATAAATGTCACTGGGCAGGACAAAAGGAAATGTGTTCCCCACTTGTATGGCCAAAAGTCTTTTGATAAATTATTGTGCAACAAATGGACGCTTGTATGTCTGTATTTTTAGGTCCTGGCTCTGGGGGGGCGGGGAGGGAGGTGTTTAGTGCCAAGGCAAGGTCTGGCTGGTAGTTGCTGTGATGGCTGTGACAAAGGTCCTCTGTAGACTCGTGGACAGTCTGACGACATGGGTGGAGGGGCCTTTCAGCACACCCTTCTAGAACAGTCTGATGGCACAGGTGGAGAGGTCTTTCTGCACACCCTTCTAGAACATTCTGATGACGTGAGTGGAGAGAGACTTTGGCTTTTATCCTTTTAACAATTGTTTGGGGAGATGTATTTCAGGCATAGTGAATATAGTTTAATGCTTTGTACTTTTTTGAGACATAATCTCACTGTATTACTATAGTCTGGCCTCAATCTCCAGCCTCCAGCCCCAGTCTGTCTCCTGAACACTGGGATTGCAGGCATATGCTACATCACCCAGTTTTGTTTATTACCTTTAGTATTCCCTTTTAAGTCAATAATTTTCTCTCTCACATTCTTACTATCTGAATTTGAAGCAGAATTTTACTAACTGTAACACCCAATTCTGCGTTACCTTCTCGGTATGGTTTGTGCGCCTCTGTACCGATCACAAGTCCGGGCAAAGGCCTGGAGATTGAAAGAAACACACACAAGAGACCTGGGTCATTCGAAAGAGAGATCAGCCGAATGCCACTTTATTCAGCTTTTTGCCAAACTAATATACTTAGGCCCCAGTAAAGGAATTCCTTCCCAGGCAGGGGGAACCTGGCTCCGTAGGAATTCCTCCTGGGCAGGTGGGAAATTACCATACCAAAGATGAAACAATGCCCTACAGCTAAATCACCAGGCTATGGCAGAGTGAGCACAGGAACTAGCAGGAAGCTTTAGCTGGCTGACCAAAACTGTCCTTGAGATGCACCCCAGGGAGCGAGGGTAGACTGGGCCCTACAACTAACCCCACAGTTACTCTTCTTTTACTATGAAAATATTCTAATCCATAGAATAATAACTAATACAGCATTGAAATTAGCAAAGTTTGGGGTCCAACCTCCCACAAATAACATTAATGTAAAGGAATATTGCATAAATGGTGTTGTACTTAGGGTGACTCTTACTGTGCTGAAACACCATGACCAAAGCAACGTGGTGGGGGAAAGGGACACCTGATCCCTTGTCCACTTGACACACCAATAGGACAGTCTTTGACCATAACCTTTTCTTTTTGGTTCATCTCCCAAATCTCATATTAATAATTATCACAATCTAAAACATACTACAAACTTAAAAGTCCCAAATTTTACAAGTTCGAACACAATAAAAATCGATCTTTAAAATATCCAGTCTCTTTTAAAATACAAAGTCTCTATAAAACTCCAAAATCTCTTTAAGAGTTCAGTCTTAACTGTGGATTCCAGAAAAAAAATATTTAAGTACTTTTTTTTTTAATTGCAAGAGAAAGAACAGGGCGCAATCACAATCTAAACAAAACAAAACCAACTCAGACAGTACATTGGGCAACTCAGTGTCCTGTGTCTAGGGTTCACTCATGGTCCTCTGTGGGTCTTCAAACAGGCTTGCCACGGTATACACAGCTTGTCTGGTAGACTCAGGCCCATTCCTCTCCACAGGTCCTGCTGTCCGTGGTGGTCATCCCATGACACTGGTACCGCCAAAGTGTTTCGGTCTCCTGCTGCAATTGGGCTGTACTTTCACCAATAATGTAAATTTATGGAGCCTTCTGGGCTCTCTTTATGGATCCAAACCTCAACTCTGCATGGCCCCTTCAGTACTGGGATTTCCGCTGCTACCGAGCTCGTACCTTCACTGATACCTCTCCTGGCCTCTCACAGTGCCAAACCTTAGCTGCTCTTCACGACTCCTTCATGCCTTCAAAACCAGTACCATCTGGGAGACTTTTCTACATGACCAAATTTGGCTATAGCATGAAGTACAACCTCAGTCACCTCTGGAAATACTTCCCAAAAGATTTCGCCTCAATGACACTGGTCTTTTCTTAGTCACCATTAATTTCTCAGCTCCCCAGCTAATAAGCATCGATTGTCCCAGTAAAGCAAAGGTTTTACTTCATTCATGCTAGTCTTTCATTCAGCACAGCTGATTCTTCAACCCCAGTTGACAAGAACCACAGATTCTTATTCAAAATATCAAATGGCTCCGACAGTCTTTGTTTCCTCTAAACTCCCAGAGGCCAGGACTCCATCATCCGCGCTGTTCTCAGCATTATCCTCTAATCTTCCACATTCTAACATCAGTTTGCTAAGCTGTGAAAATTCAGTGGCTTTTTTGGCCCAAAGTTCCCAAGTCCTTCCACAGTCCCCCCCAAAACAACTTGATCAGGCCCTGCCACAGCAATACTCTGTGAACCAATTTTTATTTTACTTAGGGTGACTCTTACTGTGTTGAAACACTATGACTAAAAACAACTTGGGGAGGAAAGGGTTTATTTTATTTTTAAGGCTTACACTTCTGTTACTGTTCATCATCGGAAGAAGTCAGGGCAGGAACTCAAGCAGGGTAGGAATCTGGAGGCAGGAGCTGGTGCAGAGGCCATGGAGGGTGCTTACTCCTCTTTTTAGTTCAGCCTGCTTTCTTATAGAAGCCAGGACCACCAGGCTCCACTGTGACCTCCCCCACAATGGACCCTCCACCACCAATCACTAAACTAAGAAAATGCCCTATCTACATGCTTGCCGGCCTACAACCCAGTCTTATGGAGACATTTTTCTCAAGTGAGGTTTTCTCCTCTCAGATGACTCTAGCGTGTGACAAGCTGACATAAGAACTAACCTGGAGAGATGACTCAATGGCTAAGAGCAATGGCTGCTATTCCAGAGAAGCTGGGTTCAATTCCCAGCACCCACAAGGCATTTTACAACTGCCTGCAACTCCAGCTTCAGGGGATCTAACACCTTCACACCCATGCACATGAAATGAAGTTGAATAGATAATTTTTTAAAAACCTAACCAGGACAGATGAGAGCAAATGGAGCTGATCCATAAGAGTAGAAGTTAAATCATTTAAAGGAAAAGCTAAGTGAAGCCGGATGTAATGATATGCAGCAGTAATCCCAGGACTCTGAAGAAAAAGGAAGATTATAACTATGAGGAGAGCCTGGGAATACATAGTAAAATCCTGTTTCAAAAACAAGTAAATAAATAAATAAATAGGGACTGGAGAGATGGTTCAGTGGTTAAGAGTGTTTGCTGGTCTTCCAGAGGCCCTGAGTTTGGTTCCCATCATCCATGTTGGGTGGCCTACAACCACCTATAACTCTAGCTCCCAGGAATCCAGCACCTTTTTCAGGCCTCCATAGGTACCTTCATACCTCTCTCTCTCTCTCTCTCTCTCTCTCTCTCTCTCTCTCTCTCTCTTTCCCACCCTCTCTCTCTCTCACATTAAAAAAAATAAGGTAAATCTTTAAATAAATAAATGCAGGGATACCTTAACTTAATAAAACTAACTAAAGCTGTTCTATATAGACACAAAAATTTCAAATATATATGTTAAGAACAATATGCTGCCGGGTGGTGGTGGCACACCTTTAATCCCAGCACTTGGGAGGCAGAGAAGGGATCTCTATGAGTTCAATTCAAGGTCAGTCTAGTTTACAAAAGCAACAGTCAGGGCTGTTACACAGAGAAACCCTCAAAAAACAAACAAACAACAATATGCAAGATCTTACAAAGAATAATGATACTATATTTTTTTAAATTGCATGAATGAGCAATAAGCAATAGATAGAAAAAGAGTCTCCTCTGAGAAGATATACAGGAAATTGGTAACTGATCATTTCTGTGGGGGAACAATAAGTGCAGGTATAGATCTGGAGGACACGTGTGGGAGGGACGGCTTCTCTCTTATACCTTTTGTGTTCTGTCTCACTGTTAATATAGGAAGCACTGTTCCTTTAGGAATAGTCCTTTGGGAGGTCATTCTTATGCCACTCCAGTGCAGATTAACCACTTTAGCCAGAGAAATTGTGAATCCTGAGAACTTGTGAATGTTTGTGGTGGAACAACCCTTTTCTACACTATGAATATGTATTATTCTTGTTGATTGATGGAAAGCTGACAGTTGATAGCTTGGCAGGAGTTAGGTGGGAAAGCCACACTGAGAATGATGGGAAGAAGGAGAGCAGAGTGAGAGAGAAATGCTGATCAGCCGCCAGGCGAGCAGGACGTATAGAAAATGAGGTGACAAGCCATGAGTCATGTGGCAAAACATAAATAGAAATATGGGTTAATTTAAGTGTAAGAGTGAGCTAGTAACAAACCTGAGCTATCGGCTGAACATTTGTAATTCATATTTAGCCTCTGAGTTAGTTATTTAGGACCAGGAGGTCGGGACAGGAAATGTCTGTTTACAGATGTTTTTGAACTGGTTCCATTGTTTCTTCCCTATGCATTGCTAGCTAGTCCCACAGGCTTGTAGTAGATATTTAATGATTGCTCGATTGGATTGAGCTTGACTGAATTGATTTGCAGTATTTTATGATACACTTCTACATAATATTTTTCCTTGTTAAGGATATATATATATATATATATATCACTTGTTATATTTCCCTTGTTAAAATAATATATATGCCACTTATGTATGGGTGCCCATAGGCACCAGAAAATGGTGTCAGATCACCTGAAGCTGTATCTGTGAACCACCCTATATGGGTGATGGAAAATAAACTTGGGTCCTTTTAAAGAGCAGCAGTTTCGATGGGCTACAGAGTCTCTCCAGCCCTACTCATTTGCTTTAATATAGTATTACAAACCATTTGTGTGTGTGTTGGAGGAGGTGTGTCACTGGAGATGGTTAGCTCTCTGTGCCTCACACTTGTGGATCAAATGTAAGCTCTACGCTACATTTGTTCCAGTGCCATGTCTGCCTGCCCGCTACCGTATTTCCCACCATGGTGGTCCTGGACTCACCCTCTGAAACTATAAGCCCCCAATAAGCTCTTTCTACTGTAAGTTCCTCAGTCATGATCATGATGTCTCTTCAAAAAGAAAGAAAATGACTAAGATGGGTTTTTACAGCCTGTCTACCTCCTTTACTGTAGTGTTCCCTGAACTTTGGGGAGGTTCATACAAATGTTCTATTTAGGCCAAAGAACTCAAGAGCCCCTTATTCTTAGTACTTGACCAGTTATGAGTCTCTGGGCTTACTGATGCCCACTACAAAAAGAAGTCACCACAACCAAGGTTGAGAACTGTAAGGAGCCACCTGAAGAAATCACCATTATAAGATGGCGCAGGTGGTCCTACAGCTTGGAGGTAAACAAATCCTTTTGAAGTTGCCGAATGGGCCTTGGCCTGTATTTGCATAACTGAGCCTTGGTTCCCTAGCCTATCCCGAAGCCCCTAGCATCAGCGGAATGGTATTCACCAATCAGGACAGTATCCGAGTCCCTCCACCCTAGAAAAGCTGCTGCCTCTGGGCCTTTCGCTCTCTCTCGCTTCCTGTTCTCTCTCTCTCTCTCTCTCTCTCTCTCTCTCTCTCTCTCTCTCTCTCTCTCTCTCATTTCCTGCTCTCTCTCTCCCCCTCTCCCTCTCTCGTTCCCCATTCCCCCTTCAACCGAGAGGCTTCAATAAAGTTGTGATTTGGAAAGAATTCTCGATTTCGTGGTCGTTCCTGCTTGCTGGTCAAGGGGCGTGCCACACAGAGAACAACACTAATCTGTGGGGCTAAGCATCAATATCAACAAGGAAGTCAGTTTAGCAAAGCAGCAACAGCTCTCCCCTTAGGGCCTATGACTTCCTCAGCCACAGGCTTGATCAGATTTATTCTACCAGGCATGAACTCTGTCCTATAGAACAGGCCTCAAATCCAATCAATTTTTTTTTATTTCCATAACCTTCATGGACACATCTTGTGTGAGGTGTATTATAGCATTCAGAATTCAGTTTGGCCAACTCTCATGCAATATCACCCGCATTATTACTTCTTAGAAAGTGTGCCTCTTCTTCATTAGAGAGCCTAGAGGTCAGACTCTGGAGGTTTTACATGACTAATGACTACACACACACACACACACACACACACACACACACACACACACACGCCCCCATGGCCTCCATAACACCTCCATAACCTCTTTCCAGAGGTCAGCCTTCAGGGAAGCAGTATTCAAGCCAGTTCCAGCTCTATTTCTCTATGTTCTGAACCAAATGTGTTTTGTCTTCAATAATAAGGTCTGACCATCTAGTTATGGGAGCATCCAAAAATAATGAAAATGGAATGTCTTGTTTGGGGGCGACTTGGGACTTCTTTGAAGATATCCTATGTCTAGCACTTCAATTTTCACTTGCTAATCTATGTCTTCTGGAGGAAGCATCATCCATCCATCCATGGACGGTGTAGCAGACCCATGTCTGCTTTAATCCAAAATCTCTTATCCCACCAGTCTGCTATTCTCACATGAAAGTCTGCTTGACATTATTTTCTATCATTAGGCACCATTGATTTTTTTCATATCTCTTCTAGCTCTGTTCTTGCTGTCTAGCTCCCAGGCTCTAATGAAGAGGCGACAGGTTTCCAAACAAGTAACTATGGCACGTGATATTACAGGTAAATTGACCAAAGCCAGGATTATATTATTTTTAACTTTGATGAGTAAATCAGTTAGAAACACTTAACTTCTCAAAGGGTGAAAGACTATTTATCATTTTGCTTCTAATTCTACTTTAGTCCTAGGAGATAGCCTGAAGTAGCCCCTTGAGTTATATAAATATAAAGCAACTAACTGTGTCTAATTCAAGGTGAAGGCCTGAAGCAGTTAAAGTAAAGCAAATATGCATGTCTTACTAAGAGTGGTTCTCAGTCATGCTCTGCTTCTGTTGATTTGTTTCTACATTTAAGTGTCTTCAATGGGCTTCAGGTTGTTCTGTGTTTCTGGTTTGCTAGACATCTGTTTAGAATTGAAAAGAATGCTTTTGGTGGGAGCCATGGAAGTGGGATGAAGATAAATACCAAGAGTATGGAAGCTCCTCCAGCCAGAACTGGAAGAAAGGCTGTGAATGAAAAATGATGACTCTTGGTCAGAGCTCCAGGAAATGGATTGCAAGCTCCACCCATGGAAATTTCCCAGACTTTAAAAGGAGTTGGACTGGTGACTGACTGTACTGGACTTTGCCCTTTGTAGAACTTAGGACGGGGATATCATCGGATGTTTGTAGAATTTCTGGAGGACCAGTTTGTGCCGTTCTGAGAGTGAGTTTAGACTGTGAACCTCTTAGAACAGACCTCGGTAATGACTGTGTGAATTGCCATATCTGCTTCTTACATGCAAAAGTTTGGTAACTTGGTCAGAGCCTGACCTCAGGTGTGCTCTTGGGTTTGTGTGACTTCTCTGCAGGAGTATCAACCACTTCCCAAAGTCAGTTGCAGAAGTAATGATGATGCTCATCACTACAGGCCAGTGGGTGGGTGGGAAAGAGAACTGTGGCAAATCCAGAAATCTGGGGCAGAAAAGCAGGAGGAACTGTTTCTCAAAATACAATAGCGATATTTTGGGTATTACCTGAGATGCTGGGGGAGGGAGAAGTTATTCTTTGTAGGAAATGAGCCATGAGGCTCAGGCCATCATAATTTGAGTAGGAAAAGTGACTGTGCCTAGGTACAGCCTCAGGTCTCACACTCGTTGGCCCCACACTCTGAAGGAGGAAGCACAGGGACCCGGAGCTGAAGCTCATCTTCAGTTATATAAAAGGTTGAGGACAGCTTGAACTACATGAGACTCTGTCTCATTAAACAAAAATAAATAAGATTTATTATCTACATTATATAAGGAACTTAAGCATCTCTATAACAATAAAATAAAAACCCACATTAAGGATGTGCAACAAGGTTGAGTATGTATTTCTAGTGAGAAAACGTACAAATGGCTAACAAGTATTTGAGAAAACACTCAACAGTCCTAATTATCAATGAAATGCAAAATGAGACTACAGTGAAATACCATCTTGTACCTGTTAGAATGGCTATGATCAAAATGAGACTAGCTGAGCTAGGAGTTATAATCCCAGCAGGAATCTGAGGCAGGAGGGTTGCAACAAGTTTAAGGTCAGCCTAGACTATGCATTGAGTCCAGGATCTTACCTTAATGTGTGGTGAAACCCTGTCTCCAAAACCAAAACCAAACAATAAGCTGAATGCTGAGAGGACCAAGAAGAGTTCAGTGGTAGAGCCTCTTGCTTAGCAGGTACAGGTCCCTGAGTTTAATCCTCAGCACTGCAAAAAAAGAAAAAAAAAACAAGATGAAAAGTAGCACGTGTTGGTAAAAACAGAAAAAGAAAAATCACATTAGGGGGATAATTAAAAAAGAGAAGAGGTATGGGGAATTATGCTCAAAATATAATATATAGTTGTAAGAAGATTCTAAAATAAATGAAGTTTTAAAAATAAGAAAGAAAAGAGAGCATTTGTGCACTGGTGACAGGAATGTAGATTGGTATTGCCTATATAAAAAAATCACATGGATCTTCCTCAAGATATTAAAAGGAGAGTAAACATATCACCCAGAAATCCAATTGGGAAACACCTCAAAGAAACTGGAAGCAGTTAGTTAAATAGGCATTTGCTCTCCTGTGTTCACTCAATGCTGTTCATGGTAGCCAAAGTATGGAATTAATCTGAATATCCACCAACAGATGAACAGATAGCAAAAATGTGCTACATGTATCCAATGAATTAATAGCCTTTAAAAGAGTAAAATGCTGCCATTTGCAATGACATGGGTGAACTTGGAGGATGTTAGGCTAATTGAAATAAGCTGAACACACAAAGGTAAAACATGAGCTCAGTCATACGTAAAATCCCATAGTAAAATTCAAAGTACTAGTGGAGGAGAATGGTGGCGGCTAGAGGCTTGGTCAGAGGGCACGGTTTTAGATAAAAAGTGTAAGAAGTGGGCGACGGTACACGCCTTTAATCCTAGCATTTGGAAGGCAAAGGCAGGTGGATCTCCGTGAGTTCAAGGCCAGCTTGGTCTACAAGAGCTTGTTCCAGGACAGCTAGGGCTGTTACACAGAGAAACCCTGTCTTGACAAAAACAAACAAACAAAAAAGGGTGTAAGATCTGAGATCTGTTTAGTACAGAGATCTGTTTAGTACAGCGTAGTAGGAAGAATTAATAGTGTATGTCTTAAACTTGTTAAGGTAGATTTTGTTTTGTTTTTGTTTTTCAAGACTGGGTTTCTCTATGTAGCCCTGGCTACCCTGAAACCCACCTTGTCCTTTAAACCCAGAGGCCTACCTGCCTCTACCTCCCAATTGCTGCTATTTAAGGTGTGTGCCACCACCTCCCAGCTGCTAAGACAGATTTTTAAATGTTAGCACTGCAGAAAAATTATTGATAGGTCAAATGGCAGATTTATTGATTAATTTCTTTTGCTCATTCTATAATACATCTTTAATACTGAGTCTAATAAATGCATACAATTTGTCATTTTAAAACATAGTCTTATTTTTCTGTCACAAACTAGTAAAATATGATGTAAAATGGAAGTTGTTCTGCATGTGAGAACCAGTGTCCAACATGGCTCCTATCTCACACTGTTATTCTAGTACCTACGTAGTCTTCTCTCACAATGATTCAGGGTCAGTGATGTGAACAAGAGTGCAGCAGAAGTCCAACTGGGTGTTTCTCAAGGGAAGATTGGAAAGGACTTGAGACGGGTGCTTTGTGTGTTGGGGTGTTTGCCAGCAGTCACCTCATGAGAAATCTCAAGCCGCTCTGGAGAAAGGCCCACTAGGGAAGGAGCCAAGGCTTTCATCACTAACCCAGCAATGTGAGTAAGTCGGTGATGATGGTTGTGTCCCTGGCTGGCCTCAGACTGACCACACTTGCTCAGCTGAGTATCTCTCAGATTCAATTTTATGGTCTGTAGAAGGTGAGAGATAATTGCTTGTGTTTGTATTAAATCCCCAGATTTGGGGATACTATGTTATGCAGTGATTAATAATTAAAATACTCTATTAATAGATTCCATATAGCACATGGTTATATAAAATTCTGGAGAAATGGCTTAACAGTTAAGAGCACTTATTACTCTTGCAGAGGCCCAGAATTCAATTCCCAGAACCCACATTGGGTAGCTCACAAGCACCTGTAACTTTAGCTCCATGGGATCGGAGCCCTCTTGTGGCCTTTGAAGGCACCATCATTCATATACACACAGAGACACATACACATATATAAAAATTAAATAAATCTTTAAGAAAAAGTCAGGAAAGTCTTTAGAAAGAGGAAACAGGATGTGGGTCTCAGAGATAACCTGCCCTGAAGGTAAATTTAAGGTGGAGCAAAAAAAATTATTTCAGACAAAAGCAAAATCTTGGCTGTAGGACCAAAAGGAAGAGAACATGACTTACTTGAAGAACCACAGTTAGTTCTGTGGCTGGGATGCAATATGTTTAAAGAATGAAGTCCAGATAGGTTAGAAAAGTAGAAAAGAAACAGCTCACTAAGGAATTACATGCCATGTTTGTACCTGCTATTTTATCCCGAAGATCATGAGAAGCTGGTAAAGAAACATATTTAAAGATTTTATTTTATGTTTAATTATTTGTATATGGGTTAAGATTATACATGTCAGTGAGCATGAAGAACAGATGTGTCAGGTACCCTGGAGCTGGAGTTAGTTATGACAGTTGTTGTGAGCCATCCAACTTCCATGCTGGGACTTCAACTTCAGTCCTCTGCGACAATAGCACCAGCTCTTTACTGCTGACACTTGCTAATAACTTTATAAAAGGTGAATGACATAGTTAACTACAGACTTTAGAATGATGGCCGATGAAACAGAAAGCATTTAGAAGCTCCTGTTTAGACTTGATGAGAAATGGTCTAATGGACTAAGGCCTTAGCAGTATACCTCGAGGGCAGAGAGGATCTGGAGGACTATATGAAGTTCAGTTGTTAGAATATGAGGAAAAAAGGAAAAGGAAGGTATGGGATTAAAGTAGAACATCAAGTTCTTCGTGGAGAGGTGACATTTCAGTGGTCTATAAAAATTTTCTTTCTTTTCTTTTGGTTCGTGGTGGTCCTGGAATTATACATGCAAGACTAGCAAAAGACATTTAAAGGGCAGCTAGAAACACGACTAAAAAATGGAAATTAGAAATTAAGGTCAGGCTGAAGACAGAGACTTGAGTTTTCAAAACTTTTGCATACAGGTGCCTCTTAATAAAATGTAAATAATTCCCTGAACAGAATAGAAAAAATAAGTTTTATCATTTTATATTTGTCTTTCACTGATAGCAAAGCCATTGGGAAATGAAAGTGACATTAAAAATTGAGAGCTGGGCAGTGGTAGCGCATGCCTTTAATCCCAGCACTAAGGAGGGAGAGGCAGGAGGATTTCTGTGAGTTCAAGGCCTGGTGTACAAAGTGAGTTCCAGGGCAACTCAGAGATACTCTGTGTCAAAAAAAAAAACTAAAAAAAGAAGAAAGAAAGAAAGAAAGAAAGAAAGAAAGAAAGAAAGAAGACAGGGAGAGAGGAAGGGAGGGAAAGAAAGAAAGAAAGGAAAGAAGGAAGGAAGAAAGGAAGGAAGGAAGAAGGGAGAGAGGAAAGGAGGGAAAGAAAAGAAGGAAGGAAGGAAGGAAGAAAGGAAAGAAGGAAGGAAGGAAGGAAGGAAAGAAAGAAAGGAAGAAAGAAAGAAAGAAGGAAGGAAGGAAAGAAAGAAAGAAAGAGAGGAAAGAGTTGAGATAAGGACCAGTGAGACAACTAAGCAAGGCCTGGATTTGATCCCTGGAACCAACATAGTGGAAGAAGAGAACTGATTTCTGCAAGATGTCTTCTGACCTCCGTATGCTCTCTGTGGCAAACATGCTTCACAGACGTGTACACAAAAATAAAATCGTCAACGAATTGCTTAATTAACTAAAATATTATGTAAAAGACTTGAAATAAGACTAAAACAAAGAAGTTAGAACTAAAAGACAACTTGAAAACTATCGTTTAACAGTTTTCAGTTTACTGAGTAGTCAGTGATTGTTGTCTGAGTTTTCTGTCCTGCTTGGTTCCCACAATCGTTAAGTCTCAAAGAAATCACACAAAGGTCTACATTAGTTATAAATTGATTGGCCCAGTATCTCAGGCTTCTTACTAACTCTTACAATTTACATTAGCCCATTATTCTTGTCTGTGTTAGCCATGTGGCTCAGTACCTTATGCAGCAGGGCAGTCACATCTTGCTTCTTCTGTGATTGGATAGGACTGCCGACCAAGCTTCCTTCTTCCCAAAATTCTCCTGTTCTCATTGACCTGCCTCTACTTCCTGTCTGGTTGTCCCACCTATACTTCCTGCCTGGCTACTGGCCAATCAGTGTTTATTTAAAATATAATTGACAGAATACAGACCAATGTCCCACAGCAAGTGGTCATAGGAACCTGGTGCCTAATTAAATGTAGAAATTACACAGCACTTAGGAACTAAAAACAGGAGGATTAGCTTTAATCCCAACTGTGTGAGAATAAGACCACTACCACAATATTTGAGCCAAATTTGAAGCAAACTTTATTAAATATTGGCCAGGTCCATACCTAGGACTCCCAGACCATGGCTGCAAAGTATGATCCTCTGGGGTTTATAAAGGCAAACCCATGAGACCTGGATTCCTTCTGTCTTGTAATCATTGTGTATAGATTTGATTTAACAAATGGTAAAAAAAATCTTCAGGATTCCCACTATAGAGAGAGGAAAGGACTGAGGGAAACGAAAGAATCTAAAATAATTGCTCTCTTCCCAATGTTTCCTTCATAGATCTGCTTCATCACCTGTAACATTGTGAGGCTATGTTCTATTTGGTTCTACTAATTAAAAATTAAACTCCAGTAAATTTAAATATGTTTTATGATATGACATTTCTCCCTTCTTGCTGTGGGATAATGCTCTTGTACACTGTAAAGATTTTTCACTCATATTGGTTTAATAAAATGCTGACTGGCCAGTAGCCAGGCAGGAACTATAGATGGGGCAACCAGACTATGAGAATTCTGGGAAGAGGAAAGGAAGAGACACAGTCATCATCCAGAGGAAGAGGAAGCAAGATAAAAATGCTTTACTGAGAAAAGGTACCAAGCCACATGGCTAAACATAGACAAGAATTATGGGTGAATTTAGGTTGTAAGAACTAGTTAGTAATAAGCCTGAGCTAATAGGCCAAACAGTTTGTAATTAAAATAAGCCTCTGTGTGCTTATTTGGGACTGAATGGCTGTGGGATTGGGCAGGACAGAAACTTTTGCCTACACCTTCTCCCCATATTCTCTCTTCCTT